GGCAGATGTTCTTTGCGTGAGGTGTTACGCTGGGTACCTGTGCTTTCAGTGGTATGGGAAGAGTAAATTTGACCGGGTGGCTCAGGGAGTTTGTGGCTGTGTAAAAACGACCCTGCTCAAAGGTCCAAAGCCTGGGTTAATATCCAGGCTTTGGCCCTGGATATTAACCCAGTGACCCATATTTAAACTGGACTCTCAAGTGTAACAAGTTCATGGTCTTAGTCTAGTCAACAGATGCTTGCATGCAAGCAAATTTTATGGACGGGTTTGTGTACTTAATTGTGCTCAAATGCAGCTCTCTGCGTGTTATTATTATGAAGTGCCGCAGTGGTGAGATGTTAACTACCTCGCTTGGTATACAGGGGGTCGCGGGTTCTGACCCGACCTTGACGCCTGTATATTTGGAGTTTCCCTGTCTTCTCCGGGTCCTCCGCTTTTTCCATCCACGGTTCTTTCCTCCACCAGCCAGTTTGTTGAGCTATCTAATGTGGCCATGTCGCTTCTGAATAAAAACGCTATATAACTCAGTGGGCCTAACCTGTTAAAATAAAACTAATATTTAGTTTATTGTTTAGTAATTATGCATAAATATGTAAGATGATTTTACATGTGCTGAACCACCAGTCGCAGAGCATGATGTACTGTAGTATTGTCTAGGGTTGGGGAAACAAATCCAATTGAGTAACTCCTGAAAGCAGTTGTGGTGTCAAATTCCTTGACATGTCACGAAGCTGCCAACTGAAACTCCATGTGATTTGCAGTGGTCAGGTGACTCCGTGAGGCATGGGCTCACACATTGAAAAGCCCTTCTGAGTTCCTGCCCTTGAAGCTGGGCGCCCACGTTATTATTTCACTAGAGCCCAAACCAATCAACTAAGTGCGTGTTATATTGTAGATGCACAACTAGGCTGAGTATTCTAGGCTCTCCAACACAAGGCTGAAGCTATGCTACCGTAAGCAGTCGACTTCCTTTCAGAGCAAAAGTAACGTACAAGTGCCCTGTGCCCTCCAGTAACGTCATCAGGCATGGTATGTCACCTATCGGGGTCGACTGACAAAGGAGTGAGTTGACAAAGGACTGCAAATTACTATTGCTTCATCACATCACCAAAAACAGCTTGTCCGAATGTGTGTGTTTGTCTTATTATAACGAACAGGCATTTGGAGGCCTTGCTGTACTTGTCACTACGGAGACAGGCGTGTACACGTAAAATTTGGTGTCTCAGAATATCTATGGCCGAAAATGCTATCAAATAACACGTTTATTTGCTCAAGATAATAATTCAAATCCGCATGAATTGATAATGGCAAAATTTACCAACGCTTAACCACTGGCACAGTTTAATATGTTTTTCATTCAAAAACGTGGCCTTTTATTCCGTGAAAGTTGGCAAATCTTGAGATAAACGAGCCCATGGAAATTACAGGGTGTGGGCACACAAGTCTATTCATGCCTCTCAATGTTTTATTCTGAGGCCTTTTTTGCAGTAACACGCCAAAATAATAACGTTTACGTGAAAGGAAAAAAAACAACAACCTCAAGGGATGTTTTATGTATAATTACCCACGGAGACCAAATCAGGCTTTGACAACGATAATACAAGCACAGAGCAGGTCCACAGGAGCATATAAGCCCTGACATTAATGGGACAGAAAAAATTATAGGGGTCCATCATAGTTGCAGCATATATATGAATGTTGTTTTTCCGATAAGTTTTTCTTTAAGATGTACTGTATGTCACAAGTAACACTAGAATTGTGAAAAATAATACATCCCTTAAACTAAAAATAGAGATAGCGATATGGGCAAGGTGGCAAATGCCCAAGTCTCAGATCTAGAACATTGAGAGTTGCCACCACTGAGTTAAATTTTTCTTTGTATGGCTGATGTTGGTGTAGAGCACGAATAATAGTTTGACACTGACACAAAGGTGAGCCCACAATATTGCAGGAAGCACAATTCTCATGATGCCCTGCATGTCAGGTGATCACCACATTGCATATACAATGCTCTCAGCCTTATTCAGACAGCCAACTCAAGATCTTGGTGCCGCAGTGGCGAGCTGTTAACTACTTACTTCTCCTGGTATACATGAGGTCGTGGGTTCGATTCCGACCCTGACGTCTGTATATTTGAAGTTTACATGTTATTCCCGTAGTCGCTTGGATGTTTCTCCGGGTGCTCTGGGTTTTCCCTCCACATTTAGAAACATGAATTTAGATTATTTGCCTGCTATAAACTTCCACGTGATAAACCACTTCGTTGAGCTATCATTTGTGGCCACGTCACTTATGAAAAGAGCAATATAGCTCAGTGGTCCTTACCTCGTAAAATAAAAAAAAATAGTTTAATTTATAGTTTAAGAGATGCCTTTGTGATCATAACGTTGTTGAAAGAGTGGAAAATTTGGCCATCCCATCATAGAGCAGTGAAAAAGACAATCGTAGTCTGGTTTCATCCTCGTTAAAAACAAAGATCCCCCTATAGCTTGAACAGACTGTTGGGGCAAGTGCTGTTAGCGAGCACCTAATGAAGGCCGGCATGGCTTTGTCTCCCTATTTCCGGTGTTTATACTCCACACCAGGTACTCATTTGAGGCTAAGTCAACCTAGGGGAGGCCTAGGACCGTTTCAGATGACATCCGCTGGTGTTGACCGTGAGTGGAAATCGAACCCAGGTTGCCAGGTTTAATAGCATGGTTTAGCACCGCTCCCATAACTCATCAGTCGCCATCCACATCCCTCTGGGAGTCCATATGTAGACCGGGTTCACCTCTACAATATGGGGACCCCATTAGCACTGCCTAGAGGCAACAACACATTCATATCTAACATTTTTGTAAATTATAAGAAAACCCATCACAACAGGACAATGTGTGTAGGCTAGAAACAAATAGATGTAATCACACACTAAGGTTACATGCAAGCGAGCCATCGTGGAGGTTATGCCTCCCCGTTGTATTGAGAACAAACCATTGTGTTTGTCAACTCTCTTCAAGTTCAGGATGCATGCAGAGGCCGGTGAAGGGACCGATATCATGGGATTTAGAGTGCAGTGCACTAGGCGCCTCTCTCCCACTCCTCCGATTAGCATGCTTGGCTACATAAAATGCGAAAGAGGTTAAAAATGCATATGCATACACACTCCCACATTTTCTGACACTTTCCTATAGAGAGGCATACATTGCTAAGTTATAGTTAAACTAAATATCGCCTTTTTGGCACCATGAAATTACTTGTGCACGCCGAATTACAGTTGTTCTAAGTGGGTGTTTAAATTTTTTAAACAAATCTATTACCTATGTATGCTGCATCTACACCGCTTTATGAGGCCGGGCACTTCTAGATATGTGGTGTTTTATGTAGGGATCGTTACGGGAAAAAAGGGCCGCAACTCTTGCAGATTTAATGATGTCCGAGGCTACTTGTCTGCGGTTAGCACGTCAGCAGTCAGCCCTACTTGTGATGCCAGGGCCAGAGAGGAAGTGAAGTTTCTAAAGTTTTTACATTCGTCTGCACAAGTTAAACGTCTGCGTAAGTTTCACACCGCAATAACTTTTTCTGTAACCATCCCCGGAGGGCCCTCCCCAATGCCATCGCCACGCATAATTTTTTTCACTCTGCTCCACCTTTTTCATTTCTCAGCGATTTCATATTAGGCGATTTGTTCCGCGCCGTAAAACGTCCACCCCGCGAAGGGGTTTAACGGCGTCGCTCTCAGGTGCCCTGCGTTCACGCCGCCGCCTGTCGCGGCCCTTGCGTTTGTCACGGACTCAGCCGGCATACCGAGCCCACTCTGCGGCACTCTGGGTTTGACAGATGAGCGCCGCTCCTCCGAGCGTGATGCAACATGCAGATCGGTCGCGCGTAACTCACTTCACGTTTCCAATTTTCTACTTCCTTCGCCAGCCTTTGCTAATCTGTATAACATAGTTTGGATAAAAACCAAGTCTCTTCCAATGTATTAGTCTCTTCCAATTTATTATTCTCTGCTGAAAATTTTCTCGGTGAGCTTCTGTTTTGTATATATATATCCACGATTCTAATAGCGTTCCAACCTTCAGTTTGACTACGATGTTAAATTTATTTGTTGCACCCGGCACCCCTATAATAAAGAAATATCGGGCTGTGGTGAGAGGACACAATTGTACCCAATGCCAATGTTCAGTTAACATTATTCTGCTTCTTACATTTTCCCTGCACTTACTTTTGAGGCACACTGCACATTTATCAAACTAGTATTCAACGTGTTCTCGTAATTTAACGAGAACTATGAATACTCTTTGGTTCTATTCGGTAAAGTCACGTAGGTAAAAAATAAAACAACAAAAATCATTTCCATTGCGAGTTCTGACCCCATAGTGGACATTCCACATACCTATGGTAGAATACAGCTTACCAGATAATCTGTGCAGGAATACCCAACCCACACTCGTAAATGCGTCAGAGTTTAAATCCTTGCTACGCGTGATGTTTTAGTGAGATTGCACGGAAATTTTACAAGTCAGGCCCCCAAGTACTAAATGACGCCCACTATTATTGCATAATTCCCCTGTATTCTGTACATACACATACAGTATAAAGATAAAAAAACAAAGATCCTCTGTATAGCCTTAACAGACTTGTGAGATGTTCTGTTAGCGTGCACATATGAGGGCCGGCACAGCAAACGAGGGGGTGGGTGGGCAACATCACTCCCGGCCACCTTTGTCTCCCCAGTTGCGATGTTCACACACCGCACCAGGTACTAATTTTAGGCTGAGTCGACCTGGGGGAGGCCCAGGACCGGTGCAGATAATGGTCACTGGTGTTGGCCATGAGCGGGAATCGAACTCGAGTCGCCATGTTCGTAGACGCAGCGCACTAACCCGCTTCACTACCGCTTCCCTCCACATATATATTTGCACACAGCAACACATACAAATTAAATGTTATTGTAACAATAATTTTAGAATGGATATTCTGGATCATGATAGAAAGGCTCGTGCAGTTGTTGTCACCTGTGCTGGATTTGACGGTGATGCTTTTCACCGTTTGCCTGAGCAGCTCGTACTGATTGGTGCGCGAGCCATCCTCGGCCACCACCACAGAGAGGTCTTCCCCCTTGTTCCACGTGTAGGTCACCTCCTGGTTGGTGTAGGCATCTGCAACGCGGTGTCAATAACGATCATTGCAACCGTATTACAGCAGGATGCACATGTATGATGTGCGTGCATAATGTGCATGCATAATGTATGTTGATTACCATATGAATAACCCAACCGGTAATCCATTGTAATTTATATGCATGCATTCATCCTCCACCCTCCTCCCCCTCTGACCTTCGCACCTGATTGGCTCACAAGTGACGACATCACATTTATCCCTCTATTTAAGTTCGAAGCAGGAGGATTTCTCTACAAATCTGCCTGTCGCTTGACGATGCTAGTTGTAATTATTGGTGAAACACCATGGTACTCGAAATGTAAATGTTGTGGGTTTACTCTCCAACACACCGGTGTGCTGAACAAGTAACGAATTGGCATGCTGTGTTTACGTGACAAACCTTACTAATTTGCTGTGTTGGGTGGCGGCGGGTTTAATGACATATTTACGCGATCTAACCCAAAAAACTCTGTTATGGATATTATGCATTACATTTGATCATCTATTATCCAGCACGCAATTATTCGGCTAGCCAACGTTATCCGACAGCGTCCCATGTCGATCCGGCGAACCTCCATCACAGCTGATGGAGTTGGATTCAGACTCTGAATAACCAAATAAACCCCGTACAGAGGCTTCGAGATTGGAGTGGTAAGTACAGTCCAGTAAATACGGTAGCTGTTTATAGTAGAGTATTTATTTTTGTCTATTTGTTTGTTTATGCCAATTTCATCGAGTAATTAAAACAACATATACACAACACATAAAAACTTAATCACATGCCAGAATGTGTATGTGTGTTAAACTGATTGTGCTGGAAAACAATGCACTCCCAGAAGGCTGTGTGGCTGATGGAATGTGTAAACTCTATGTATATACTTTTTTATGTGGAGATACCGATATGGGAATGAGGCGTATTGTTATAGATTACTGGATAGCATCATACTTGCACACACCAATAATTATAACTCTAACCCGAGCACCAATATTTACCCTCGCACTACTCTTGCTATAACTTATAACTAATATTATGGCCCTGAGCTCAATGTAATCACTTTTTTCTAACCACCAGGCAAAGTGAAATGTTTACCATACGTGGGTACCAAACAGGCTGTACGATATGTGGACTAAACAACACGCATTTTAGAAATTATTGAGTCAGTACAAGTGATAGCAAAATGTATTACAACTGCACAATGCCAATTGTAATATTAGTTGAATAGTGTCAATTGTGCAGTGGACACCTTTGTGTTGCTTATAACAAAGGTCATAGGGCTCCAAGGTGGTGAGATGTTAACGTCCTCGCCTGATGTACAGGAGACTGTGGGTTCATCCCGACCCTGACGCCTGAATAATTGGAGTTTGCGTGTTCTTCCCCATGGCTGTGTCGATTTTTCTCCGGGTCCTCCGATTTTTTTCTCCACATTTAGAAGCATGCGTTTAGACTATTTGGCTTTTATAAATGTCCACATGATGATTAGCCACTCTGTTCAGCTGTCATTGGTGGCCAGGTCGCTTATGAAAAAGAGCTACATAGCTCAGTGAGCCTTACCTGGTAAAATAAAATAATTAAAGTTTAGTTTTAATAAATCCTTTCGCAGCCTTCTCATTTTGCTTTACTTCTGTACATTGAAAAAAGGCTGCACATTCAGCTTTTCTTTCTTGTTGCTAAAGCACGCAGTGTGTTTATTGAATACACGCCCTCTGTTGGACCAGGAAGGTATTGTAGATAATACCCATAATGCTGTGCAACCTTAATTCAGTTGTACCAGAGCTGCCACCTGTCTTGGCTTTCTCAGGATTGACCTCCGGTTGCGGCAAGCTGCTACAATTCCTAGTTTTGTGTCAGGTGTATAGTACAGCTGTACACAGTTCAAGACACTTGTATGTAGTTCTCTACACAACTTTATTGTGTAATTTTAGTGAGGGACTGTTTGGTGTCTTGGTGTGATCTGGGATTGTTTTTGCTGTTGTTTTCCTGCTTTGCCCAAACATGGGAATTGGTGTACTTATGCAATTTGAACTTATATACTTCACCTATTTTACATATTTATTGTTAGTGATTTGCTTACTTTTCATATCCTTTGCACTCTTATCGTTTTTTGTACTGTTTGTTTTTGTAACTTTGTGAACTGCGCCTACAAGACATCTGTGAAAAAGAGCTGTATAGATCGTTGTTTTTCTCCAGGATAAATAAAGATTCTGATCTTGTACCGCAATGGGATATATAATTCTTGCCACAATATCTTTCAGATATATTCGACCTCTTAGGCTACAACTCTAGTACAGTACTGTACAATATATTTTATAGGCATGCATGACGAGTACTGTATTTGAGAGGAAATGGGTTGCTATAAAACAAAATGTATGGGGTATGTGGCAGCGTTATGCGATGCATAGGGGCCCAGTCATCCACAAGGCGGCCCCGAAATCCTCGACTGATAGGCTGGCATGGAAGCAAGATGCATGCTAACTTATTGCGAGTATTGTACCTTTACATATTTTTTAAAATTAATATTGTCAATGTGAGGCTGTCTTCCTCGAAACCAAATACACGGTGCAACTAAATAATATATAGTTATAGCCTACATATTGTTGTTTACGGTTTAAAACATCTGTAGCTATTTCAGTAAAAGTGAGTCGGGAGAAAGAAGGGAAATGGGGGGCACAGTCGTATCTTGCATAGCCCCCCCCCCGTTGAAATAGGTCGTTGCGCCCCTGGGTTGGAATCAGATTCCTTGGGTTAGAGTAGAGACGGTTTATGGGATAGCTCTATATGCTGTGCTGTAGAAATGCCTGGTTAATTATGGCAATGCCTGCATTATCGACAATCGATACTTTGTCCTCATTACTCCCACCTATGTCATGTTTTATAATTTTACAGTAATTATTTCTGCAGGTTTTCATTCCAGGATTCTTGTTTGTGAACACGGTTATCACCTTAAATTTATGAGGTTTGCAATCTCTCATGGAAATTCCGTGAGAATATATCGCTTTACTCTGAATCACAATCATGACCCTGTGATCGTCTTTGATGACGTGTAAGTGTACGTGTGCAGAAAGTGCATGTGTGCACGTATGTGGGTGTGTGTACACCCAGGACCCCATTCCAACCTAAAGTGGCCTGGTCTCAGTTATCTGATGAAAGTTGCAAGCGAGAATTTAATCATCGCTTGCGGCTGGGATTGGCATCGTCCCCGACTCCTCCTGATGTCGAGGGTAAATAGGCGAGGTTTAGGACTGTGACTCATGCAGCTGCAATGGCTGCTTTGGGTACGTGGTCCAGACCTCCCCAGAGACCCTGGCTGACAGAGGAGGTGTTCAGGATGGTTTAGAAAAAGCGACAGGCCCACTGTCATCGGCTACAGAATCCCACGTCAGAGAATGAGGAAGCTTTCGGCAGCCTTCGCTCAGAGGTTCGGAGAGCCGTGAGGCGCTGCAAGGATGGGTTGTGGTCGCGGGTTGCTGAGGAGATGGAGTCTGCCTCAGTGGCCTGCGATCACATATCTCTTTAACTCCATCAAAAAAGTAGCCTGCAGCGCCACACCTCTTACCATCATTAGAGGAAAAAACGGTGATCCAATCTCTGACCCCCAGGAACAGGTTTGCAGATTTGCTGAGCATTTCTATGAGGTCCTGGGGGAGGGAAAATCCCTCAGCCAGGAAAACATTGTGGCACAAAGTGAGGATGACCCTGCTGAGGCTGTGGTGCCTCAAATATTGGAAGAAGTCACCCCCTGTGAGTGGCTGGCTGAGGTGCCATCTGTTGAGGAAGTACTGAAGGTGATCCGGAGTCTGAGACCAGGAAAGGCAGCGGGCAGAAATGATCTCCCAAGCGAATTGCTGAGGGAGGGTGGCGTTTGTGCACAGACTGCCCTATATGACATCATAACAACAGTCTGGACCACTGGACGGGTTCCGCAGGATTGGAAGGATGCCCTGGTGGTCCCCCCTCTTTAAGAAGGGGGACCGCATAGACTGTAACAACTACAGGGGCATCCCACTCCTCAGTGTGCTGGGAAAGGTCCTGGCAAGGATTATTCAACATCGCCTTGCCAGGCATGCGGTTTCAGGAAAGGGCGGTCCTGCACAGATGCCATATTTTCTGTCCGTTTGCTACAGCAGAGGTGTACGGAATTCCAGCAAGACCTACATCTCTGCTTTATTGACCTGGTCAAGGCCTATGATACCATCAGTAGGCCTGGGCTCTGGGTTGTTCTTCGTGCTTTTGGAATACCTGACCCTCTGCTCACGATCATTTAGGACCTCCATGATGGTGAGCGGGCCCGGGTAAAACTACGTGGCCAGGAGTCAGAGCCATTCCCTGTACACCTTGGGGTGCGACAGGGATGTCCTCTGGCTCCCACATTATTTAACATCTATTTTGACCACGTAGTTCGTGAAGCCTTCAATAGCTGTACCGGGGGAATCTCCATATGGTACAGATATAATGGGAGGCTGATCGATGCCCGGGTGCGGTCAAGGGATGGCTCCCTATTGGTCAACCACGTTATGTATGCCGATGATATGGTAATAGCCGCTCATTCAGAGGAGGAGTTGGAGATGCTGCTGCTGAGACTGGAGCGTGCCACTAAGAGGTGGGGCCTTACCATCAGCCCCACCAAAACTAAGCACCTGCCTGAGTATTTTGTACCATCGGACACGCCACCCCCACAACTCCCAATCGGTGATGGGGCAGTTGTGGAGAGAGCGGAGAGTTTCCCATACCTGGGCAGTGTGCTTGTGACCGGCTCTAGTTTAACAGCAGAGGTCTCACTCCGAATCAGTCGAGCGGCAATATCTTTTCATCGGTTGCATAACGCTGTGTGGAAGCTACCTGGTCTGTCGCTCCGCACTAAGCTTCAGGTCTTCTCGGCCACGGTCATTCCCTCCCTTCTCTACGCTTGCGAAACGTGGACCCCTCCAATGGAACATCTTCACCAGTTGGAAACATTTAGGCTGGCCTGCCTATGATCCATCCTGGGTTTAACCAGGCTGGATTGTGTGAGGAGCTCACAGATCCTTGAAAGATCTGGGCACGGTCCCATCGGTGAGCTCCTCCGGCAGGCAAGGCTGCGTTGGCTGCATGCCGAAACAGCTTTTGTTCGGCCGGATTGAGGGGGCTAAACGGGCGCGGCATGGGCTAGAGAAGAGATGGCGTGATGTGGTACAGGAGGACGTGGAGCTGAGTGGACTTGCCGATGACTGGTACCAGCAGTGTCAAGATCGGCCTCTGTGGAGGAGGCTCATGAATGACGCTACTGGGCAGTTGGAGGCAGTTGCCCTCCAACAACAACGGAGGGTGGAGGAGCGACGTTCACAACAATGAGCGGTGTGCCGGGTGACTAAGGCACAGCAGGTTGGCACAGTAGGGGGCACAGGTGGTGCATCAGCCAGTCATCTCAGTCAGTTGACCCGTGGCACCTGGGTCTGCCCCGTGACCTCCTGCCAGCGGGCGTTCGACACTTCACTTGGCCTCAAGGTGCACATGGCCTGGCACAAGCGCCGTGGTGACGTCACCGCCACTTAATGGCGAATGGTGGTTGTTGTTATACATGGGGGAACGGTAGTGTAGTGGTTAAATTTCGATGTAAAGATTTCGTGACTGCAAGGATTCATCTTCTTTGATTCTTTCAGTAAAGTCACGTAGAATGAGAATAAAATAATAAATTTATATAATAAAATAACACAATAAAATTCTCACGATGTTTCGGCCACAACACAAGCGGCCTTCATCAGGTGAAGGGACGAGACTGTCTGGAGGACAGCGCTGAAGCGAACAAAGTCAAGCTCAGATGGCGACCTTTAAGCTGTGTGAGAAGAAACAGAGCGCCTTGACAAAGGAATTAGCATAGAATTTAGCATTGAAATAGCTAGGTTAGTGTAAATGCGGTTGGTATTACCTTAGAGTCGCGGCATCTCTTCAGAAAGGTGAGAGACTCGATTAGTTGTCAAGGCACTCTGTTTCTTCTCACACAGCTTAAAGATCGCGATCTGAGCTTGGCTTTGTTCGCTCCAGCGCTGTCCTCCAGACAGTCTCGTCCCTTCACCTGATGAAGGCCGCTTGTGTTGTGGCCGAAACGTCGTGAGAATTTTATTGCGTTATTTTATTTTATCAATTTATTATTTTATTCTCATTCTACGTGACTTTACCGAAAGAACCAAAGAAGGTAGTGTAGTGGTTAGCGCTCTGCACTACGAATCCGGCGAGCTGAGATCGATTCTCACTCACGGCCAACACCTGTGACGGTGATCTAAACTACTCCTCGGCCTCCCCCTAGGTCGACTCAGCCTCAAATGAGTACCTGGTGCTGTGTAAAACATCGCCACTTGGGAGACAAAGGCGGTCGGGCGTGGTGCTAGCCACCCACCCCCATAGTGTACCTTACCGGCCTTCATAGGTGCTCACTAACAGCACTTGCCCAAAAAGTCTGTTATGACTATACGGGAGTCTTTGTTTGCCTTTGTGTACTTACGTAGGGATATGTGTCAGTGTGTGTGTGAGTATGCGTGTTCATGCTTGCTTACAGCTTCCGAACTTGAGGGGACAGGCATGTGAGTCCATTGGGAAGTCTTCCAGCATCATGGGGCACTCAGCCTTTATGGTCAACCTGAACACAGAGGAAAGAGCGTTTCACACATGCAAACGGTTACAGGCAATCTGTTTGAAGCGTACATCCCAGACCCAACCCTGCTGTCTAGCAGCATCCGAAAGCATTTGTAAAACTCTGACAACATTAAAGAATAAGCCGAAAGGAAACTGTCAATCAGAGACCATTGTGCTTTCAAGGTCCTGTAACTGCCTGACAGCCAGTTTCCGTGTGGGGATTTCACAGCACACAGAGCAGGGTTTATACAAGTTTGATGTATAAAGTAAATATACATTCTGTAGCAGACGATACACATCACAAAATTGTGACATACATCTTGCTGGATTTAATAAATATGATGCTTCAGCAAATACATTGCTTACAATAACGTGAAACTTCTTTAATTGATGAGCGCTAACAGATGACAGCCACACAAAAAGACCATGGCCGCCTACACATGAAAGGATTGTTGATTGGTGTGGCTTTTAGAATCTAAGTTTGGCCTTCAGTCATACATTGAATTAGTGTTTGACTGAAAATGCTTCTCAATGTTTTTCGAATCCACGGCACAACCTTTGCAACAAGTAACAAATGCACTACCTATGAGCCACACAACTGCCATTGTGAACAATGGAGCCAGAATTAGTCTGCGCTCGTGTACGTCATTGCACTGCTCGTAGTAAGCAGACGAGCCCCAGTAATGCCGGTTCAATTTACTCTTGTGAATATTTTTATTTGACCAGGTAAGGCCCGCTGAGCTATATAGCTCTTTTTCAGAAGCGACCTGGCCACAAAATGATAGCTCAAGAGGTGGCTTTATGCCGTGGACATTTATTGCATCCAAATACTCTGAACCGAAATTCTGAAATATCTAAATAAATATCGAAATCTTAGAGATCATAATCCCAATCATATTATTAGAAGACCATATAGAAAACAGAATTATCATGTGTCATCCGTTATCGGCCAGATTCCTACGTGAAGGAGTTTGTGTTAAAGGGGTTTTTCCATTCAAAATAATTTATCATGGTATTTCAGTTTCGATTTAAAGCTTTCGTGACTGCAATGATTCATATTCTTGGTTCTTTCGGTAAAGTCACGTTGAAGGGAAACAATAAAATAATAAAATATATATAAAACAATAAAATTCTCACGACGTTTCGACTGCAACACAAGCAATCACCTGATGATGACTGCTTGTGTTGCAGTCGAAACGTGATAATTTTTTTGTTTTATATATATTTTATTGTTTCCCTTCAACGTGACTTTACCGAAAGAACCAAGAATATGGTATTTCAGCTTCATTCTTCGATACAATGTCACTTGTCTTTGCATCCTCAGAGGGCACAGACGAATTCCAGCTCACTGCTTTTCTAGTACTCTTTGGGTCTTTTGGTAAAGTCACGTAGATAGAAAAAAATAACGACGTTTCGATCGCAACACAAGCAATCGTCCTCAGGTGAAAATAGATATAGCTCTTCTAGTGTGCAATTGTGCAAGGGCACCATCGCATCTTGAGCAGGCAATGGTCGCTATCTAGCAGCAAAAACTGGAAAGTATATGATGTACAGTGAGGGAAAAAAGTATTTGATCCCCTGCTGATTTTGTATGCTTGCCCACTGACAAAGAAATGATCAGTCTATAATTTTAATGGTAGGTTTATTTGAACAGTGAGAGACAGAATAACAACAACAAAATCCAGAAAAACGCATGTCAAAAATGTTATACGTTGATTTGCATTTTAATGAGGGAAATAAGCATTTGACCCCTCTGCAAAACATGACGTAGTACTTGGTGGCAAAACCCTAGTTGGCAATCACAGAGGTCAGACGTTTCTTGTATGTGGCCACAAGGTTTGCACCCATCTCAGGAGGGATTATGTCCCACTCCTCTTTGCAGATCTTCTCCAAGTCATTAAGGTTTCAAGGCTGACGTTAGGCACCTCGAACCTTCAGCTCCCTCCACAGATTTTCTATGGGATTAAGGTCTGGAGACTGGCTAGGCCACTCCAGGACCTTAATGTGCTTCTTCTTGAGCCACTCCTTTGTTGCCTTGGCCGTGTGTTTTGGGTCATTGTCATGCTGGCATACCCATCCACGACCCATTTTCAATGCCATGGCTGAGGGAAGGAGGTTCTCACCCAAGATTTGACGGTACATGGCCCCGTCCATCGTCCCTTTGATGCGGTGAAGTTATCCTGTCCCCTTAGCAGAAAAACACCCCCAAAGCATAATTTTCCACCTCCATGTTTGACGGTGGGGATGGTGTTCTTGGGGTCATAGGCAGCATTCCTCCTCCTCCAAACACGGCGAGTTGAGTTGATGCCAAAGAGCTCCATTTTTGTCTCATCTGACCACAACACTTTCACCCAGTTGTCCTCTGAATCTAGATTTGAAGCTTTCGTGACTGCAAGGATCCATATTCTTTGGTTCTATTCGGTAAAGTCACGTAGGTAAAAAATAAAACAAAAAATCACGACGTTTTGGCCACAACACAAGCAGCCTTCATCAGGCGAAGGGACCAGACTGTCTCGAGGACAGCGCTGGAGCGAACACAGCCAAGCTCAGACCGCGACCTTTAAGCTGGGTGAGAGGAATCAAGGTGCCTTGACAAAGGAATTAGCATAAAAAATAGCATTCATTTGGCGGACTTAGCATGATGAACGGTGTAGAGGGGGTGAACATGTGCAGGTCGGCGAGGGGGGGAGGGGGAGTTTACATATTGATGGTGTGAAAAGGGAATTTTAAGAGCTGCGAAAGTTTGGGGTACCACTACTTGAAAAATATACTGTATCATTGAAAATTAGTTTAATGTTTTGTTCTATTTAGAACATCTTTCCAATGGTTGCTTAATTTGAAACCATCTTCTCGGTTGAAATTGTGTCTGTATTTGTAAATTTGAATTGCCTCGTGAACAAACCTCTGATAAAAACCCGTGGGTTTGCAAAAAACCTTGGTATCGGAGAAAATGATATCGTGATCACCCACAGTATTGTAACAGTGATCAGCTACGGCAGAAGAATTCGTTCTGCCGTGTTTCAAATCTGATTTGTGCTCGTGAATTCGGTAAGAGACAAGTCGCTTCGTCTCCCCGATATAGCAACCACCGCAGGTACAACTCAATTTGTAAACCCCGGGGTACTGTAAGTCAGGAATGACAGCCTTCACGGATGGGATCAGATCACGAATTTTGTGTACTGTATTGAAACGGACCTGGATCTTGTGTTTGTTTAGAATTTTGGAAATCTTTTTAGTAACGCCTGCTATATATGGTAGTGTGATGGTTTTGACCAGAGTATCAAGTGGTTGTTTCTGTATGGAGGGAGAAACAGCTTGGCGGATGGTACGGTCAGAGTATCCATTCCTTTTGAGGGCCAGCTGTACATGTTTTAATTCACTGATCAGGTGGTGTTGGTCCGAAATGCAATGAGCCCTATGGTATAAAGTTTTGATGAGAGAATTATTTTGAGCTGGGTGGTGGTGGGAATCAGGTTTCAAGTAGGAATCTGTGTGGGTGGGTTTCCTGTAGACAGAATGCCCGAATGAGCCATCAGGTCTCCTCTCAAACAGAACATCCAAGAATGGTAGCTTGCCATCTTTCTCCACTTCCATGGTGAATTTGATGGCGGGATGTCTGGAATTGATGTGGTGTAGGAAAAGGTTCAGAGCTGGGAGGCCATGTGGCCAAATGACGAAAGTGTCATCACCATATCTCTTCCACAGGGAAGGTCTGAGGGTGAAAGTCTGGATGGCGTCCGATTCAAATTTCTCCATGAAAACATTGGCTATCACTTGTGACAAGGGGGAACCCATGGGAGTACCCTCATTTTGCTTGTAGAAGTAACCATTCCAAGTAAAGTAGGTGTTGGTGAGGTAGTGCCTTACCAGCGTAGGTACCTCGGGGTTTAGTCCATGTTGTACCAAATTTTCAATTATTTCAATGGTATCAGGTACCGGGACCTTGGTGAACAAGGAGACTACATCGAAGCTGACAAGGATATCGTCAGGGGACAGTACAACGTCTTTGACCATAGAAACCAATTGGGCTGAGTTAAGTACTGCTGAGGAGATCTTGCCAGTGAAAGGTAGCAAGGTATCCGACAGAAAACGTGCTAGCTTATAGGTAGGGGAGTTGATCGTGGATACGATGGATCGTAGTGGAGTGCCTTCTTTATGAATCTTTGGAAGACCATATAATCTAGGGGGTCTTGCAGCAGAAGGTTTTAGGGAGGGACGTTTAGTTGGTTCGATTAGGGAGGTCGAACTTGTGATGATCTTGTTGGTTTTCATAGTTAGGCTATTAGTAGGGTCATTTTTTATTTTTGAGTAACTACCATCATTGAGTAGGTCCTGAATTTTATTGTTGTATGAGTTTTCATCCATAATTACAGTGGCATTGCCCTTGTCGGCTGAGAGGATGATTATATCATGTCTTTCTTTTAATTTCGCGAGTTCAGAGCGTTCATCTTTGCTGATGTTGCTAACGGGTTTCTTAGCATTCTTAAGAATAGTAGCTATTTCATCTCGCGACGTTTGCTTGGATGTGTCCTATATCTTTGAGGGCTACATCGACCTGAGAAATGATATCATCAATCGGTATATGTTTTGGGGTGACAGCGAAAGTTAGTCCTTTAGCCAATACTGTTTTCAGATTGTCCAAAATCGGGGTGCTACTCTGATTGATAACAATTTTGTTGACGTCTAGTTTTGTGATCTGTGGAACCGGGTTTTTCTTTAATAGGTGGTTGAATTTAGCAATTAGGTTAGCTTTGCATTTGATTGAAAGTGAATCGGCAGAAGAAGCAGTCATGTTGTCTACGTGGTTCCAATCAGAAGGTGACATTTTTTGTGTTAACGTTAAATGAGCTTGTAGGAAAGTCCTGTCTAAAGTATCGAGTTCAAAACGGAGTAGTCTTATCCTCTCTGAGATGAAAGAGAGGCTGGCCTTAAAAATAATCTGTTTAGAATTCGGTGAGGACACAGCAGCAGAAGTGAGTGTGAAGGCGATGGGTATTACCTTGT